TGCTTAATGTCATTCCACTGTGGTTACAGAACATACTTTGTATAATTTTAATCCTTATAAATTTATTGAGACTTGCTTTACGGTCTAACACATGGTCTATCCTGGAGAATGTTCTATATGCGCTCGAGAAGAATGTATATTCTGCTGTTGGTGGCGGTGTTATCTATAGATGTCTGTTGGGTTTAGTTGGTTTATAGTGTTGTTCAAGCCTTGTATTGCCTTGCTAATCTCCTGTTCATCACTGACAGTAGAAAATTGAAGTGTCCAACTATTATTTATTTCTCCCTTCAATCTGACAGTTATTACTTCATGCATTTTGAGACTCTGTTGTTGGATATATAAATCATGAATTTTTACATTTCTATCGCCTATTGTATATTTTTACTCAAATGTGACTAAGTTCACTGTTTGATTCCAATTATACATATTCTAAAACTGGTAACAATAACCTAGCACAGGGTCAGCAGTTTTTCTGTAAAGGGCCTTATAGTAAATATTTTAGGCTTTGAGAACTACATGGTCTCTGTTGCAAAAATTCAACCCTTTTGTTGTAGCCGAAAAGCAGTCATAGACAACATATAGCTTTGTTCAAGCACTCTCCTTCCTTCTTCTAGGACAACAGAAATGCAATAAAGTATTTTCTTTACAAACTGCAACTGCTATCACAGAAATGATAAAAGCATTAAAAATTTTTATAGGGAATTATTGTAAACAAATCAATAAAAGCACTTAACAGCCAGCATATAGAAACAGTTGAATTCCATAGGGTATTTATTAAATAGGGGCTTCTTGAGTAATTGTGTGAGCAATGGAAATATTAATTTACTTAACTACCTAGACTTTTGTTCCACCGAGAGCATCTGACATATCTTGCTTTTCCACATAAAATGAGCTTCATTTATATATTCATAAGCTCTTTCCTTATTCGTCTGTCTCACCCCTAACACCCAACACAGGATCATGCATAAAGAAGGAGTTGAAAATTATATTTTCAATTAGGGCTCACAATCAAGTAGCCTGTGAGCCAGATGTGCTTTGTTTGGCCATTATCCTGTTTTTAAAACTGAATTTAGATGTCATTAGGCAGGACATACATTCTGCAGTTTACCACAGATCCTACTGTCTCCTACTATTGAATACCACTTCACTGCTATTCTCTCTTCCTGGCCAGTGGAAGCATTTTCATTTGTGCCCCATATGTTTAATAAAAGGAAAACTTATTTCAAATTACTCTTATCTATATGCTATGATTTGCTCACCTACAGTACTGAAGCCTCTTTTACTATCTGTAATGTTTCAGTGTGCACTTTAATAAAACTGTCTTTTCTTACAAATATTCAATTCCCTAGGAACATTCTCACAATCCAATACAGAACAATATGTGCAAGATTACACAGAGTGTATAAAACAGATGTATGTATAGGAAAAGAATATAAAGAAATTGATCAAAATGTCAGGTTATTAATCTCTGGGTTGTGAGATTATGGATTATTTTTCTTCTTTATTTTTTATATTTTCAAGTTTTCTACAGTGAGCCTGAGTTATATTTACAATTGGGAAAAAACTCTTCTGCAGAAAAAGAAAAAAAAACTGTCAGAAATTCGAGTTGACTGGCCTTCCTGCTCCTTAAATTGGAACAAGGAGAAAGAATATTTATTGAGTGCCAACTTGGTCTTAGGCATGATGCTACATGCTTTACATTCAACCACAAAAACGCTGTGAGGGAGGAGTATTAAAGCCCCCATTTCTGAGATAAAGAACAATTACTTCAGTTTTATTTTATGGAAAAATCTTGAAATTGCCAGGACACAAACACATAGAAATCTGGAGAAAAGAGGCAGGTGGGCTGGAGGGAGAGGAGAAGGCCTTAAAGAGAATTAAAGGCAGTGAAAGAGAAGAAAGGAAATAATGATGGATAAGGGCATAGGAAATAATAATTTATTCATGCATTCATCAAATATTTAGTTTCAACTATTTCAAGACACTTTGCAAGAGACTGTAGGGTATATACAGATGGGTTTGACACAAATCACACGATGGAATATGTATGACAGTCCTTCTATCCGTATTCAACATAACATCCAACATTAATGGAACATAAGAAAATTGACATAACACACTTGCCGACAACTGAAACGAAGAAGGGAAATAAGAGTAAACTGAAGAGTAGAGAGTGACTACAAAGTGAGTTGAGAGGATGAAGGCATTACTGCTGGCTGCAGGGATGAAGGCAAGAGGGAAAGAGGTAGATGCTCATATCAGCCAAAGGACTCTAATCTCTTCCCTGAGTGCCAGGCCTGTACTTGAAGTTGTTCACTAGCCATCTCTCCCAAGTGACCTGAAGGCCCTCAAAATCTGTGTCCCCAACCCAATCCGCCACCCACCTGGTTTACTATCCATTCAGAAGTTCACTTATGCAACAAATGATCACTGAATGTGTGGTATATGCGACCAGTAGGTTCAGTAAAAGACACAGATATTAACTAAACACAAAATACAATACAAAAGTACAGCAAAAACGAAGAAAAAGGTGAGACAGAAAAATAAGAGAGGAGTATTTTCAGAAAGACCTCTCTGAAGAAATAACATTTCTGGGAACTGAAGGATGAGAGGGCCTTAGGAAGATCTGTGGTTGAAACGGAGGTTCTCGGCAGTGGGGACAGCCTAGGCAAAGAAACTGAGGGAGGAACGGACTTAGCAAATCAGAACTGAAAGAAAACCTCTGTAATTACATCAAGGAAAAGAGGGGGTGAGTGTGGTGGGAAATGAAGGTAGAGACCTGACCAGGGCTTTGTAGTTTCTGCTACAAATTCTGAATTGTAGTCTAAATGCAATGAAGAAACAGCAATGAAAACACATGCCATCCCTCCCTTCATGAGATATACAGACCTATTGAGGAATACAGACTATTAAACAACTGATTTCAATCTGTGTCATAGTTTTAGGATAGGGAATATATAGAGTGCTGTGAGAGCACTGAGGAGGGACACCTAATTCAGTCTGAGGAGGTATATTCACTCTCCACTGGGACCATTGCTACAAATTCTCCATCAGTTATGTCACACTGCTACCTGTCATCTTTCCTTAACACAAGTGAGACCTGGTCAAAACCATCCATGACCTCCCAGAGGATAAATTCCAAACTTCCTGATCTCATGTCACCATTTGGCCCTAACCTCTATCTTCTTGGTTTAAACTCCTCCTACTACCTAGCGCAATGGTTTTTAAACTTTGTTTTTAGTAAATATATTTTATCATCACAAACACACATATCCACATAAAACACTAGAAAGTTTCAAGAAACAATTCAAGTAGGATTACTTTGATACTTTCTATTTTATTCTTTTTTCCCTAAAATATTTGTTTAGTCATGACCTGCTAATGGGTTTAGTCTGCAGTTTGAAAATCAGTGACTGCTTCGTCCATTACTACCTTCTCGACTCAGCTCTGAACAAACCGTTCTTTCACCCTTTACCCAAGTAGACCCGGATGCCTGGAGTACCCTGTCCTTCTGTCTTCCTTGTTCATTCACCTAGCAGTTTCCTAGTGACCTTTCAAGAGTCATCGCAAACATTATTTATTCAGAGAAACCTTTCCAGATATTGCCCCAGTCACCATGCTTCCATCCTTAGAGGTCCCAGGAAATAGCACACCCTAAGTGACAGTACTCGTCATCCAGGGTCTATTATTATGACTTTTCAAAAACAAGTTAGTCTGCTCTGGACTAGGTTTCTGGACATTAGCAACCTAGCTGTTTTATGTCAGGTCCAACATAGGCTCTAATTGGAAGCAAAGGTCAGGGAATGTTACATTGAATAAATGAAAACTCACCTCATTTTCTACTACCCTCCCCACACTCTCACCACTTTGGCTGTGCACTTCTTTCTATTCCTCAAGCACACCACAGTCTTTCCTCTCTCAGAGACTTACTCTTTCCCCAGCATTTCCACTGCAGACTGCTCCTACTTTACCTTCAAATCAGTATCTACCCTTAGGAGGGCATCTATCCAACCTCTCATCACATTTCCTTTGTCTTTATGGCATTAATGACTCTCTGAAATTATCTTGGTTTTTTTTTGCTTGTTTGTTTACTTATCTACCTTCCGCACTAGTTATGTTAGCTTCTTTAAGGGACACAGTCCACCAAGTATCCCCCAGTAACTTCGGCTGCTAGAACAATGCAGAGGGCACAGTAGGCAGGCAACAAAACCTCTGGTGACGAACGAGGGAGTGGGAGAAGAGGCAGACACAGAAGTCTCAGGGACCTGTCCTTGAGTGTTCCCTGACGGAGCCGGTGCTACGGCTTACGCAAGGCACCCAGATGCCACATTTCAGGGCCTACCAGTAATAAGTGACCGTGCAGGCCGTGCACACTCGCTCGGCCGGGGCCTCGCACACCTCGCAGCAGAGCCGGCGCCCCTTGGGCACCGCCAGCGGGTAGATGATGTCCATGTTGCAGCCAGCAGTGTCGGTCTCCAGGACGGTTGCCCGGCGAGGACACGCGGGACGCCGGCGTCACGTGACTGCCATCGGGCAGCCTCGTTCCCAGGATTTCAAGCGCAGGGGGAGGGGCGTGCCTCCACTGACATCTAGAGTTTATTTGTGGGGTTAAAAAAACACCACCACAAAACTCCTCTTCGTTGGTCCCGAAGGTTAAACGGCCGGGCAGTCTGACTCCAGTGGAATCTAAGTCCAGTAAGGCCGATACGGTGGCCGGTGAGAGGCAAAAACGGCCAGTTCTTTACCCGAGTAGGAAACGAACATGAGGGGAGGTGGCCCTTCCAGATGCCTGCCCAGCCGACAAATCTAGCCAGCTCAGGGTCACCTCTGCGAGGCTGTGGGGCAGGAACGGCACGCAACTCCACACGAGGAGAAAGGCGGCGCCAGCGTGCGGCGTGAAGGGGAAAGGTCGCTCCCTCACTAGTGCGGCTGCGCGGTACCGGGATCGCGGCAGGGGCGCGGTGCCGGCGCCAGTGGAGCGTGCGCGAGTGCGGGCGCGCCCGGGGACTGATGGCGGAAGTGGATCTGGTCGCCGAGTTTCCCAAACCTGCGGATGCTGCGCGCTACGCCGAGGTTATGGCTCGCTTCGCCGCCAGGCTGGGCGCGCAGGGCCGGCGGGTGGTGTTGATCACGTCCGGCGGTACCAAAGTTCCCCTGGAAGCCCGGCCAGTGCGCTTCCTGGACAACTTCAGCAGCGGGCGGCGCGGGGCTACCTCGGCCGAGGCCTTCCTGGCCGCGGGTTACGGGGTCCTGTTTCTGTACCGCGCTCGTTCCGCCTTCCCCTTTGCCCACCGCTTCCCGCCCCAGACCTGGCTGTCGGCGCTGCGGCCCTGCGGCGCAGCCCCTTCGGGTTTGCTGAGCCTGGAGGCCGAGGAGAATGCACTTCCGGGCTTCGCGGCGGCTCTGCGGAGCTACCAGGAGGCTGCGGCTGCCGGCACCTTCCTGGCCGTGGAGTTCACCACTTTGGCGGACTATTTGCATCTGCTGCAGGCTGCGGCCCAGGCGCTCAATCCCCTGGGTGCGTGCGCTTAGGAGTTCAGGGCTTCCTGCAGGCAGAGCCTTTCTCCCCAGACACTTTCCCCCTCACCTTTTCATTATCCGCAGTCTAACAGCCCGGGAGCCTGAGTTGAAAGGAGCTGATCCCATATCCCACTCCGATTTATTACACCCTGTGCTTCTCTCTGCAGGCTCTTCTGCGATGTTTTACCTGGCTGCGGCCGTGTCAGATTTCTATGTTCCTGTCTCAGAAATGCCTGAACACAAGATCCAGTCATCTAGGGGCCCACTGCAGGTGATGGGCGCTTCTCTTCCAGAGATCTGATCCCCTATAATCAATCTTGGGTTAATTCCCTCTTGATCTGGAGATGGCCTTTCTGCATTCCGTATGTGATAGGCACTAGGGATACAGAGATGAATAAGACACCGCCCTCCCTCAAGAACCTCACTGTCTAGTGAGGGAGCTGGACACAGACATAATTACAATACAGAGTGATAAATGCTCTAGTAGAGGTACGTACAAAGCGAAGTCAGAGCATGGGGTGAGTGAATCTTGGGGAAGTCAAGGAAGGCTTCCTGGAGGAGATGACATAAATTGGGTTTTAAAAGATGAACAGAGAGTATAGCAGACAAAGTAGGGAAGGTCATTCCAGATAGAGTACAAATTGGAGTTTGGAAATGAGCAGTGTGATGTGAACTGAAGTTGTTTGGTAAGGTTGGAGAGCAGGGAGAGTGGGGCGCAAGGTGGGCGGGCAGACCGAAGAGAGCTTATATAATAGAAGATTTTGTATTCCTTCTTAAGGAGCTTGGACTTTATCCTGTGGAGCCAAGGCAAACAAGGAGGAGAATGAGATAAAGTTTTTGTTTGAAAAGACCATTCCGGCATCAGTATGAAAGGTGAATTAGAGAGAGTAGTGGGTGTAGGTTAGATGACGATGATTGCTGTAGTTTAAGGAAAGGGTATGGGGTGGCTAGTGGTTGAGATGTTGAGGTGATCTGGTATCCTGGAACCTGAGATAATTTTTTTTTAAGATTTTTATTTATTTATTGAGAGAGATAATGATAGAGAACATGAGATGGGGGAGAGTCAGAGGGAGAAGCAGACTCCCCGCTGAGCAGGGAGCCCGATGCGGGACTGGATCCCGGGACTCCAGGATCATAACCTGAGCTGAAGGCAGTTGCTTAAACAACTGAGCCACCCAGGCGCCCAACCTGAGAGAATTCTTAATCATTTATGATTCAAGCAGAATTTAAATAGGAGAAACTCCTGTGGGATACTTGCTGACTTTGTAGGATACTTCATTTGTTCATTTTTTCAATAAATATGCCAAGTACTGTAGTAGGACCTGGAGATAAAGCAGTGCAAAGAAACATACTGTGCCCTTGTGTTGCTTACACTCTTCAGAGACCGTAAATAAGTCAAATGCATACTATGTTAGGTAGTGAAAAATGCTAAGCAGAAAAATTAAGTGGGGAATGGGAATATAATCCCTATCACACTTGCTAATTTTCTGAAATCCTGATAATTATCATAGTAATTTCACACTTTTAAAATTCTGGGAGCTTTAGTTTATCCTCTGTTTTTTAGTTCTTTCTTGGAAGTACACAAACCAACTCAACATTCTTAGAAGGGATCAAGAATGGTATAGTAGGAGTTTTGATTAAGTGAAAATAAAGAAAATCAGTTCAGTTTCTTCAGTGCTAAGATGTGTGATGAGTGACAGTTTTTAAACAGAATCAAATAGCCATGCTACTGGTGCAAGGAATATTTTAGGCTATGAGATTTAAAAACCGAACGTTAATTAAACTTCTGCCAAAGTTACGTTTGCGTTACAGATTCATGTGAATAGATTTGTTTATTTGAGTGTTTGGTTTAAAATAAGGGGAATGTTTAAGAAAATATAATGCTGTTTTTCAGAGCTCTGTTAATGGTGATGAGGGTGGTAGAGCAAGGTTAACTCATAAGACATGGTTTGTCTCAGAATTTGTATGAAGCCTTGGAATTAGGAATCCTTATGAACCCTGAGCCAAGGCTCTTAAACTAAGCATTTAAAATGCTCTGAAAAGTTTGACAATGAGAAATCCCACTCAAATTGACATAGCCAAAAATCTGAGTCCCTACTTCCTTGGTTTCCCATGAGACTGACCTGGTATATAATGACCTTTCTTTGCTTATTAAGCTTTTCTTTTTCCAATACAGATAACAATGAAGATGGTGCCAAAAATGCTTTCTCCTTTGGTTAAAGACTGGGCTCCCAAAGCATTTATAATTTCTTTTAAGTTGGAGACTGACCCTTCCATCGTAATTGATCGTGCACGGAATGCTTTGGAAGTTTATCGACATCAAGTGGTGGTGGCCAATAGCCTTGAGTCACGACGGTCCTCTGTGGTTATTTTAACAAAAGACTCAGAAACCAAGATATTGCTGTCAGAGGAAGAAGTAGAAAAAGGCATAGATATAGAAGAGAAGATAGTGGGTGATCTTCAGTCTCGACACACAGCTTTTATACATGACAACTGAAGTAAAAAAGCCTTTGTAGGATCAAAAATTGTTCAGTGGATCAGGGCTCTTATAACTGGTAAAAACAAATCCTTTGCTTTCATAAAGACAAAAAAATGAAGGGAAAAAACTGAGTGGTATGCAGGTGAATATAGTTTGGTATTTGTCTTTTAAAGATCATTTCATACTCAGTAAAAATGAAAACAAAAGCAAAGCACTTATGACCAAGCCACCTGACACACTCATCTGATTGTCACCTGGATTTTGAAAATGAACATGAGCTGTTCCTCACCTTTAAAAAAAGAGCTTATTGGGAATTATATTCCTCGGCATATACATGTGAGGCCTGAATATCAACCTTCTTCATAATATGAGAAGGATTATGGATGCATGAATGGCCATGCCTTAAAGATCAAATATTTCTTGATGCCTACTATGTGGTAGGCCCTGAGGATTATGAGGATTAAAAAGATGAATAAATATGTCTCTGGGAAATGGATGTATGAAAAATAAAGTGCAATAAAGTGTGTGCCCAAAAGCCAACATGATGGAAATGATGTTTTTTGGAAATTTATCCAAGGTGGGAGTACAAGAGAAGGACACTTCTCTCAAGATAGATAGCCTGTAGAATTATGAGCTTCCCACTACATTCAATTTTGCTCCTTTTCCTAGGTTGACTCTCTATTTGAGTTAACAGTTTGCCTTTCAAATATTTTAGAACTGTTCTTAAGGGAAACTTGACTTCTACCTGGGGCCAGGAAGGGGCCTATTAGTGATTTCTACCCTGAGGGAAGCTTTACTATGTGGTAAGGAGTAGGGGCTTTGGAGCCATCTCAGCCAAGTTTGACTCTTCGAGCTGTGCCACCTGTTACCTTTGTAAGCTTAGACCCTTGACTTAATCTCAAGTTCATTTATAAAATAGAGATAGTAAATCTCTTCTGAATAATGCCCTTTGTTGTGAGGAGTAAATAAAACAGTGAAGATGAAGCATTAGTCGTCTGGTGTCTGGCATGTAGATTTTTTACTGTCCTGAGCTTTGGGATGGGAGTGTACAAGAAATGTGGTTCAGAAAAATCCCCTAAATGATCTGTAGGTTGGTCCAGAGTGCATGTCGAGAAACTACCATTAATAAGTAGGTGGAAGCAGGAAATATACTTTACATACTTGATTTAAAATGCAATTAGTGATAATCATGGAGTTGGGCAGGGTAGCCCAATGTGTCTGATGACAGTGATACAATGTTAGTTGAAAAGATTTGAGCAGAGGTGTAAAGATGCTTTGAAATATGTCATTAAATCAAGAAATGTGACTTTCAAGCAGAGGAAAAATAGCTGCAGCAATCAGGACTGTTCTGGAAGCAGCAGTCCCATTGAACAAAAATTTTAAATTAAGGTCCGATTAGCAAAATCTCAAAGACAACAGGCTCTGTCAGCAGTGGCTGCAGTACCGAAGGGATAGGAAGCAAAAGATTGATTTTCTTCCCTACATCTATAACTTCATGTGGATGATGACTGTCATTATGATGTTTGAACATCCAACGAGGGTAAATGGAGTGAAAACTAGAAGTGATTTTTTTTTTTTTAAAGATTTTATTTATTTAATTGACAGAGAGAGAGAGACGGCGTGAGAGGGAACACAAGCAGGGGGAGTGGGAGAGGGAGAAGCAGGCTTCCAGCCGAGCAGGGAGCCTGATGCGGGGCTCGATCCCAGCACCCCAGGATCATGACCTGAGCCGAAGGTAGCCGCTTAACCAACTGAGCCACCCAGGCGCCCCAAAACTAGAAGTGATCGTAATGTTTGTTTCTACCATAACTATTACTTCCCTTGGGAACCATTTCCTATCCTGGTTTGTCAGGCTTAAACACCACTTTCCTACATGGAATTTTTGAAGTGTTTTCCAATTCAGTATAATTTCCATTTGGAGCACTTAAACAGTATTTACACATGTTAAAATTCCAAGAGGTTTTTTTTTTTTAACAGCAAATAGGTGTGTGCCAAGAAAGAATGAAAAGGAACGCAAGTCAATGAGAGCAAATGAGAAAGCACTTGATCTAGGTTGGAGGACCAAGAATTGTTTCCCTGAGGAAGTGACAAGTGATAAGTAGGAGTTAAGTGGACTGAAAGTGATGGCCATGCGCATTTTAGATCAGAGAAAACACATTTGTAAGGTGGAAATGGTTGAAGGACTTCCATAAATTAAGGGATGAGATCTATCCAGATAACTGGCAAAGCTTTGGAAAGGATCCTATGTGGAACTAGAATAAGATTGAAATGTGGGTACCTGTTTGGGATATCACCAAAGCAAGAGCCCCCAAAACATGGGTCAAATCAAGCTTTGATGAACTAACTAGAATCTTGCAATAAGAGCATTTAAATGAACATGATATAAACCAAGGCTCTCTTAAGTTGTCATTTAGAATTTTTATTTGCACGACATAAGTGCAGGAACGGTTCGCTTAAACTGAATTTTCTAGGACTTCTAAAGGGCTTCTGTCTTAGGGACAATTCTAGTCAAGTCCGATTTCTTCATTTTTACTATAATAAAGCCAGGTCCGAAAAATGTGATTTGTCTTAGGCGCCCCAGGTAGTGACAGATTTAGGCTTAAAATTCACAACTCCTGACCCTCTTCCTTTTAAGAATGAAGTTACTTCTAGAAAAATAAAACCAAGATTATTAGGCCGGCGGGAAGCTATTTGAGAATTATAAATGCCCGCTAACAAAATGTAGCCTCAAAGTAGAAAAAGCGCACCTATGTTGTTACCATGGTTACTGCAAAGCCAATGGAATGAGCCGTACTTTTGTTTTGCCGAAAAACCCCGCCCCACGGCCCGAAGGCCAATGGTGTGCGCTGTCTCCACAGGAAGAGCAGCCCCTGAGCCAATGGTGCGCGTCGTTTCTATGGTTCCCGCCGGAAGGACGCCTCGGCGTCTCTGCGGCGAGTGCTGTTGCTATGACGCCCGGGCCTGGGTAGGCACCTGCCGCTGGCCGCTGAGCAGCTGTGGAGCCGAGTGAGCCGGGACCCTCACCGCACTCTCCGAAAGACAGTTTCCGGCCTGGTTCCCGCGGTTCCGCCTCAGCCCCAAGGAGGAAAGCGCCTTTTCTGCGTTCCTTTTCAGCCTTCCAGGTCTTTCCCGCTTCTCTCACCAGTGTGGCCCGAAACCGGAGGAGAGCCTCTTCTGGCTCTGCCTTTGTTGTGGCGGGCTGGAGTGATTCTGCCTGAAGGATTCGCCCGTCCCCAGGGACCCAACCGCCACAGGCCTTTAGAATTAGGCTGTCTGTCTTATTTAGAGAGGGCTTGGAACCCGTCAGTTAGGTGGGCGCTCCTTTTCTCACTGCCCAGGCGAAGATTCAGCCCTGCACAGACCACTGCGCCTGACGGGCCTGGCCCGAGTCCTCCGAACCACGGCTTCCCCTGGTTGTAGGCTTGTGAACAAAGAACTGCCGTTTTCTGCCTGTTCGTCCTATGTTCATCATGTAGAACCTTAACTGCCGATGAAGCTCTGGAGAGGCCTTTGGTATCTTCAGCATCCGACGTCATCAAGTCAGTGACCTTCTACCTTTCGAGCTACAATCTCATCCGCTTCTCTCATCACCCTGAGCGCCACTTTTCTCATCCTGCTCATTCCACAGCCATTTTCACCCTTTCTTGTCCATGCTGCGCATCATTGAATGTTCATTCGTCTCCACCACCTCTGCCATCTATAGACCACCTCCCTCTGTTTTCCTGCTACAGTGCTTTGGGTAGCTAAGTATCCCACATTCTCCAGCTCTGGAATCATTTGGAAGATTTTCTTTGTTTCTCTGCACTATGGCAAGCTTCCTGTCTTGGGTAAACTAACTAGCATGGAGAAGCGCACATTGGTAAATACAAACAGTAAATTTCTGCAAGCCTAGTGTGTTTTGAAAACGGAGGGGGAAAAATAAAAATGCATTTTTAGGCCTGTCCCAGGCTTATATAAAAAAAGAAGATTGTGCCTTGCTCAAGTGAATACTATGTTAGATTTACATGATGTATTCATGCGTACGAAAAGATCATTCGGAATGATCATGTAACCGGATTTCAACTTTAAGCCCATATGAACACAGTGCCTTGATACCATCAAATTTTCTGGAGAGGAGATGCTTAAAACAGGTCTTGTGCCTTCTATTCATGTCAATTTCCTTTTTTTTTTTTTAAAGATTTATTCATTTTAGAGAGAGAACACGTTTTCATGGGGGAGGGGGCAGAGGGAGTACGGGAGAGAGAATCCTCAAGCAGATACCCACTGAGGGGGGGTTTGCAGGGGTGGGCTCCCACAGGACCCTGAGATCAAGACCTGAGGGGAAATCAAAAGTTGGCTGCCCAACCGACTGAGCCACCCAGGTGCCCCTTCACGTCAGTTTCTTAATCAGAAGACATTCTTTGTGATGTGAGCCAAGAAACAGAAACAATGAGGAGTGATTGAAAATAAACATTTTTGGCAAGGGAGAAGTCTTAATAGTCCTAAAAAGACTGGAACATAGAACCTTAAAAAATAGAATAAGATTCATTTAGAGCCAGTGCAATTTTCTTTTAGTTGAAAAACTTTAATATGTCTTGTGTTCCTTGTTAAGTCTTACTATTTCTTTTTCAGTATTCAGGTTTAAATGTAAACTTATTTTGAAGATATGCACTTTTAGCAGGTATTTTGAGGGCTAGAATGATTTGGATATTTTTATTTTCTCAGGCCAATTACAGCACTTATCTGTGATATCTCATATTACAGCCAGGTCAATTTTCCAAATACTGAGAAATTCAGCTTAGTCTTCTGTAATAGATTGGAAAAGAAAAAGAAGTTCTGGGGGCACCTGGTGGTTCAGTCGGTTGGGCGTCTGACTCTTGATTTCAGCTGAGGTCATGATCTCAGGGTCTTAAGATCAAGCTCCGTGATCAGTGTGGAGTTGGCTTGCGATTCTCTCTCTCCCTCTCCCTCTGCCCCTCCCCTTGCTTGCACTCTAAAAAACTAAAATAAATAAAATCTTTAAAAAAGAAAAAGTTCTGAAACTTTTCCAATTTTTCACATTTAATGGATAAATTCTAACTTTTGAAGAGCAGAGTGTTAGATGTTATATTTTAAGGGTCTTGCCTTTCCGCTTCCAATATGTATTTACTGAACAAACATCATTAGGGCAACATTGAAAAGTAACTTTTTAAAAACTTTCCTCTCACCCTAGGACAGTGGCTCTAAACCCCGGAGGTGATCTTGCTCCGCATGAGACATTTGGCAAAGGATATCCAACATATCCCAGCTGGGGATATGTTACTGGCATGTAGTTGGCAGAGGCCAGGGATGCTGCTATACATCCTGCTATGCACAGAACATCCCCCCACAACAAAGAATTATCCAGCCCAAATGTCAATGATGCTGAGGTTAAGAAACCCTGTCCCAACATATCAAGTTCATTTTTCTGTCCTGGATCAACCCTTGCCCATGAGTGTACATTTTTACATAGCTGTAATGATAGTGTACATTTTGCCTTTCTTTTAATTTTATATTTTAAGCATTTAAACATTGCTACGTTGTT